TCTTTCCTTTTCTGTTGGTGAAGCAGCAATTCACAAATGAGAAAATGTCATTCAACATCCTTGTTTTTGGATCAATCTTAACGCTTTCAAATGTTTCGTTGCATTATCTATTATTAATGTTTTTCCAGGTTCAGCCTGTGTCTGACAAGGGTTTTCAAGAAGCTATTTCTCAAATAACTTCTTGAAGTCAAGTACAATCCTTTTTGGAATGGCGTGTTCTCTATCTCCAAAATTAAAATAATTATTTTTGAAGGGTCATAAACTGTCTCTAAGTGTTGTTTCCAACAGAGCATACTATACATAAGTCTCAACAAGAATTCTGTGTGCTTCAACTACAGATTTCTTCTGAATAAAATAGTGCATTGAAATTCTCTGCAAATATTCTTTGCTTGGCACAAAACTCAACATTTTGGTGAACTAACATACACATAAGTCTAAGCTAACTGACAGTAGTTCTGGGAAAATTGCATTACCTTCTAAAATGAAACCAACAAAGTACTTGTGCTGCTATCTGTTAGGGAATAGCAAGACCTTTTTCAAGCTTAATAATTTACCAAGAGAGTGGGGTAGCTTAGTGGTAGGGTACTGAGCTTCCAATGCTAAAGGTTCCAGGTTCGAATCCCGGTTCAGGGCAATTATTTATTCTGTTTCATTGGCTGTGGGGCGAACCTGGATAGGTAGACCCTCCTAGGGCACACCCAGCCTCTATTAAGTGGGTACACTTAATTAAAATAATTAATTAAGAAGGAAAACCTGATGATTGAATTGAGTGTGATCTCTGTCAAATCACCTCCTTGCACAACCGTAGAGTAAGAAACAGTGCTTTCCCTAAAAGAGTACTGAACCCGAGACCCTTCATGGGTTCTAGAAGTACAGAAAAAAAATAAAATAATGATAATTTATCAGTGTTATTTAAAAGCATTAAAATGAAAATAATTTCTGTTTACCAGATATGATGAACATCAATACAACATGGAAATCATAAAAATAATTATTAATTAAAAATATTTTATTACATTTGAAATAAAAACTAAAATATCCATTTAGAGCAATATGTAAGGTAAAAATATTTCATAGTTGTAATCTTTAAGCTTCTTTCCTGGGGTATCATATTTTTTGTTCTGGCTTTTATCAGATGGATCCACTATGTTCTTTCCAATATTTTTAGATGAATTTTTCAGAGATGCTGATGATTAATCATAGATAAAATATCAGAAACAAACAATAGATGAAATATCAGAAAAGATCTCTTGGAAGAAAAAAATCAGAATAACAGATATTTAGCTTATTCTGACCCGCAACAAATCAGAAATGATTTTTCTATACTCAGAAAAGGTTCTTCATGCTATAGAAGTTATTTAATGTTTTACTAGCTTAACTCATAATAACTATTTTCTTAAGTATTTTTTAAATAGTAAGATTAGTTTTTATTAAAATATAACTGATTGATGAGTCCATCCCTAATTTTTCTTTTCTTTTTTTTTTCTTTAGGCAATATGGTGTTTTCCCGGGCTGGGAATTTAAAATCCCCTCCGGCACCTGGACGCGGACTTGTATTTTTTAATTTCTCATAACTTTGGTTATCTCGTTGCCGGGCAACTCGCGGTGCTGTGCACAGGCGTTAGCCAATTCGGCCACCCTGCCCCCTAATTGTCCATTCATCCAGTTCCACACTAGTTATGAACCATTAGTCAAATTTTTTGTTAAGAAAGGCCAATGGAACATCCACACACACACACACACACACATATATAGAAAAAATTGCTGATCAATTTAGGAGGCAATGGTGAAAAAATGTTTAAAGTAAAAAAAGGCTACATCTTTTCTTCCAAAAATTAGTAATTTAGATGTTAAAGAATAACATTTATATATTACAATTCAATTCTATCCAATTTCTCTATGCTGTAATGAATAAAACAGAGTCTTTCTGTATTTTTTTTTTTTTTTTTCAATACAAATCTATTATGAGTAAAACAAACCATAGGATGGCAATCTCTTTTATTAAATCTTTATTCAACAAAACACTGTGAATTTCAAATTTCTTGAGTTGAACTAAAAAAATACCTAATTTCAAATGACTGTTTAATAATAACAAAAAGGTTTTGACGAACTCAAAGGTCTGATGCTAATACCACCAATTAAAATAATATATACTTCTATCCACCGGGTGCCATCTGAACCCAACTCTGCCAAATCATGGATAAACGATGGACATGGAAATAGAAAACTGGGAAGACCGAGAGATGAATAGGTGGAGTTGATGTCGATGCCAGAATTCTTGGAATCAGAGATTGATGGACAGTGTCTTGGGACAGAGAAAAGTGGAAGATGACTCTTGAGGCAATCAAGATCCAGTAATGGATTGTAGGGCTTGTGATGATAATGATAATGAATATTAATAATATGAAATGAAAAATAAAAAGATTTTTGGAACAATTATACCATTTTTTTTCTCTATTGGTTTCATTATATCACTATGGATTTTATCATCTTTAACAGCTTAATATGCTGAATCAAGAATGAAACTGAAAAATAGAATTAAATAATCAAATCAATCATAAGGAAAAATAATTTTTTTTGTATTCTTCCAAAATGTAGTTTTTAGACTTACAACCTATTCTACTTAGAGCGACAATATGTTTAACAATAATTAATATATATTTGCTATTAATAAAACAATTATTTTATATCTTCTAAAGTTCATTACAAAAATCCTTTAAAAACTATTCATGAAAGAAAATGACTAATTTTCTGCCTTTAGTGTTGAATGTCACTTGTTTTATTTTATTTTTTCATAAGTGAATCAAAACGAACATTAGAAAGTTGGAGAGAATACTGGACGGGAATGATAGGAGCGAAGAAATGGAAGATTACTAGGAAACAATTGAGAATAGCGTATAACTGCAACAAGGAGAATATGAACCAATCGAAAAAGTAACAATAACAGGAATAACACCTGCGATGCTAAAGTATATGGTGAAAGCAGAAGTCAAATTACTCTGCAGGGTATTTAGAACTGACTTGGAAGGGTAAGAAGATTCCAACAGACTGAGAAAGCTCAATCATTGTCCCAATCTCCAAGAAAGGTGATACTTGAGAACGTACACAGTCATTAAGGCATTTCACTGCAGAGTGTTCCAGGCAAGATATACTGATTCATGCTAGAAGATTGAGGAATGACAATGACTGGACGAGGAGCTGTGTGGCTTCAGACCAGGGAGAAGTATTTAAGACTGCATCTTTGTGCTACACCAAATATGCAAGAAATTCATTGAGTACAGCGAAGAGGTATACCTATGTTGAGGAACCCTTGGAATGACTTTAGCCCATTCGGCCACCCCGCCCCCCCGAATTATATGTTCTGTTCAAGTTACTTAATTACAGGCCAAATATCAAAGCAAACATAATTTTTAAGTCTCTGATAGAAGATATAATTGTGAACTCCCCCCTCCCCTCCCTCTCTTCTCAGCAATTCAAATTACTAAGCAAAATAACTACAATATAGGAAAATAACAATGATTACAAATATAGAAATTCAATTCACTGTGGTTAAATTGAAGAAGCAAATGAAAAGGTAAAACAATAAAGAGTAACTTAAAATGCAAAAGAAATTAATTAATAAAATGACTAAGATACAAGAAAAATTATTAATAATATCTATAAATTAAATTTTTGGACTAGTGAACAAATAGTAGTTTATTGGTTAAAAATAGTGAAAAAGAAGTTATTTTGATATCAAAGAATAGGAGTGACTATGCAAAGATACTCTTCTTTAAAATTTAGCATAACAATGTAAACACTTCGATATCAAAGAACAAGAGAGAATGAAATGCAACTTTTTTTTTTCGTCCTCCCCTTTAATTATTATTGTTTATTGTGTAATTATCAAGTTAAAAGCTCCCCACGACATCGGGATGCGAACTTATGATTATTTTAATCAATTATGTCATATATCAGATTGCTGGGCAATGGATGTGCTGTTCACATGCGTTATCACGCTTGGCCACCCCATCCACATGAAATGCAACCTGACCAGACGTAAACATTTCAGTACTCAGACATATTAACCTACTTTAAGTATTCAATGTACTGTGTGATCAATATGATTTTAGCCCTCCCAACATAGAGATGTGACACTTATGAACTAGTGCCACATCTGAATGACAGGTGCACCAAGATCGCATTGTAATGGAAATGCCAAAGCCACCAGAGTACGCCTTTCTTTTGACAGATGAGGGTATACTTTATTAACTTATATTAGTAAATGAGTGTACCTTATTAACAGTATCATACACTCATATGCCAAGTAGTAACATATAATTGGAAACAAAAAAATATATTCTTTCAGTAATAATTATTATATAATTAATTTTCGTTTAATATGTTGGCATATAATGAAAGATATTCAAGAGCACTGTATAGGAAACTTTGATGGACCTGAGTTAAATTAAATAGAAAAATAATATATTAACTATTGGATAAAGATCAGATATGTTAAGATTTAAACAATAACTTTATGAAGATAAACACATTCGTATATATTATTTCACAGAAGTCAAGAAAATATACAGAATTAACAGATTTTGTTAATTATTATTCAATTTACTCTTTTGTATTGTTGTGTTAGTTCTGTTATCAATGCTAGCACTTTACTTTGGTTTGCTTTATGTGGTCACTGTAACTTTAATTTAATTCTTAGATACACGATTTTTGTTAGTGCTTGACTACCCAAAAAAATTAAAGATAGACAAATATCTTTGATGATATTCAGCAGGTAATGTAACTGTAACATTTTATATAAGTCGATTTAAGCTGTTCTTTATAAAATATAATTGGGAAGGTTTGAAGTCAGTTCACCTACATATATTTTTGGGACACACTCAGTTTGTTTCGGAATTACAAAGACAGTATGATCTATTTGAATTGGTGGATCTATCATCCAGATGTAACACTACCATAACATTACCTACATCAAGAACTTTAAGTACACTAATAAATACCTCATTCAAATTCGAAGTCTTCAATGACTCCTCTTCATTTGATTTGTTCACACGGATTCTATTGCTCCGTCTGAGAGGTTCTTCAGAAACATTTTTTTTCTTATCATCATTCTTTTTATTCTCTTCAGTCACACTCTTATCAGTATTTTCTTCTTCCTTTATTTTTAAATTACATGTTTTAATCAAGTCCTCATTGACACTGATACCACTTAACACATGATAATCAATTATACAATTTTTGGCACTTTGCATATCTACATCAGGAACCAATTCCTGTTCATTTAAGCTATCAACTTCTACAGATGACGAAATATTTACATTTTTTTCAAAATCCTTAATAATATCACTCTTAATTACAGTTTCACTGCCATCGTTTAAATCTAAATTATCACTACCTGTCCTAATATCCATTTCACTAGCTGCAATTATATCAACATCATCTAATACATCACTGCTTTCACATTCAATGGTTTCTTCAATAACTTCTTCATGTTCGACATCACCTTGCAGGCAAGTATCATTAGCAATGTCATCCTGACTAATAATGACATCTTTCACATCCCCTAAAACAATATCCTGAATTTCTTGTGGCATTAAGTCATTGGTATTATATTCACATTCTTCATCCTGACTGCTACTATGCCTCCGTTCAAGACAACGGTATTTACCAAAACGTTTATGACTTTTTTCGTTGTTTGTACTATTGGATGAGGAATTTTGAAGGTCATCGGAATTAGAATCTTGTTTGTTATCCACTTCATTTTCATCAGAAACACCATTGGAATTTTGGTCACTGTCACTTTTTTTTCTGTTATTGCGCTTAGCTGGTACTTTACTAGACCGTCTCTTGCGAGCCATTATTTCAGATTTTAGTCACTAAATAGGCACAATTCCTAAAAACAAAAAAAATATATCTGAGAAATATACATATATATGGTTACATATAAACAAATATGCTAGGTTGACCATTTAGGAAATGAGAGAGCCCACTAAACAGAAATTCTATGAAAACAAATTAAGTAAAAAAGAATACCTGAGATTAAAAAATGAACAAGATTAATAGAAAAGTTCTGGAATAAAAAAAAAAAAATTAGAGAACCAGCAGGATAAAAGTTGTCAAGAACAAAACCACATGTAAAACATGGATAACTAGATAAAATAAACAACTTACCTGTTTACATTGTTAAGATGATTAAATAAACAATTTGTTATTCTAATCTAACAAAGATTTTTATCTCCTGCAACAGTAGAATCCTCACATATTACAAATTCGATCTGGATAACGGAAATTTCAATATAAAACAATCAATAATTTAAAACTTAACCAAGTTGAATACAGATAATAAGCGTCCATTTTGGATAAACCTACCTAAGTTGGAGCTACCAAACCCAAACGAATATCTAATCAATGATGTTGAAATAATATTTTCTGATTTTGAAAATTTCTAATTTCCTTTGGAAACTTGTAAATAAAATGTATAAAAGTTTAATCAAATTTAAAAATAAAATAAAGTCATTACATAATTGTCATTGATCTTCTCAATATAAAATATTGCTACAACCTAACTTGACATAATTTTTCTTGCAATATCCAATATATAAGATTTCGTTCATACAGTTCATTGTCTGTCAAAACTAAGCCCGGTTTGGCTCTGTTTTGTGCCCTCGGCTTGAGGCTGAAGTTTGGCCCTCTTGTTAAGAGAATAAATGTATATATAAGTGGTTTCCAGAGATTTAAATACGTAATAAAATTTTAATTATTTTTGGGACCAAATATACCACGGTACTAGATAAATATGAAAAAATGATCTTCGGGCCCTCAGAGGGGACACCAATGGCGATAAAAAAGTACAAAACATTTACGTTGAGGGCTCATGGAATAGGCCCTAAAAATTGATGAAAATAAACCTCGAGCATCTTGAGCAACTAATCAAAATTGGTCTCAGCAGGGTAGAAATAATAAAATAGCTCTAGGAATAAAATTTCTCAGCAATGTATTCGACTTTGTAGAAGCTATCTCGAATCGTTATTGTCCAATCGTCGATTTTAGGGATTTTAAGCTTCAAGCTTCGCCGCCGCACTACTTCAAAAGTGAAAATATGCCAAAAAAGAGAAGAATAAAATAGCAATCCACCCTATCTTCATCGTCATGGGATATGATTTACCTGCCATCCATCTACCTTTAATGGATTCATAATCCCTTGCATGTCCCGATCTTCATATGACTAGTTGAATAGTGTAGCCTTCTCCTCCCTGCAATGAGATAAAACCTGGAGACAGGAGTGATCTGATTCATCGTTACCTCCTACCATTTCTGGTATACGGAAGAGAGCAAAGGGGGTAAGGAGAGAGGAAATCGTTGAAGAGGTACAACCAAATCTATTCTAGCCAGAGTGAAAAACTTGAGAAACATTCCGTCAGCCACGAAATAAATTTCAACCCACTCAGTCTAGTTTTTAACCGATGTCGGTAGATTCATACACATACACGCATGTGGGTAGCAATGATATTTACTGTCTACAATTATTGTCAGTGAAGTTTAAGTTTAGAGATTATATCGCCATTTTAGCTGTTTTCCTGTTTATCATCAATGGTTAAGATAATGCAGAGGTATTTTCCTTTTTTTTTATATCACCCTCTTTTGTTTGATATTGATTTTACCATCAATATATATTATATTATATCATTTATAGGGAGACTGGCTGAGTCTGCCGACCGTGCAATATCGTCTCCCTGAAAAGTCTTATTAAAGTTATTTCTTGTTGTTGCTCTATTATGATGAAAGTTGGTATCGAAACTAATATCGTAGTGTAAAGTGCGGTTTAAAATTTGTAGTTAATTCAGTCCGCAAGAATCGCGGTACGGAAAGCGTCAGGTAGAAGTTTATTTCTGAGGAGCTGGGCCGTTATTAAAAAGGAAGCTCAGACATGCATCCCCTACCTAGAGTCTTCAAGCAGCTGGTCGTCTTACTAGCTAGGCTTATATTATTATTATTGTTTTCATTCTCACTATTTAATATGGGTAAGATAAATCAGCACTGGCCCCATCGTTTTGTATAAATTTATTTTAATCCATTGATATGGTCTTTTATTTTAAATTTGATATGAGGAAATATGCGTTCTTATTTGTTCAAAAATTTCTTCTAATCTGATTAACCTACTGGAGCAATTTTATGAAAATAACTTCTTCTTCTTCTTCAATGGGCGATACAGTCCTTGTAGAACCTGGGCCTCTGCCTCTACTCCTCACGGTCCGCAGCAAGATTCCTCCGATTTCTGATCCCCAGCCCCCTCAAGTCTTCTTCCAGATCATCCGACCATCGGTGTCTGGGTCTATCTCATTGTCATTGTATCCTCCTGGAGTCCCATTCAGCATCATTTTTGGAAGTCTTCTGAGATCCATTCTTTCAACATGACCCAGCCAGCTGAGCCTACCCTATTTAATGACACTAAGGATGTCTGGCTCTCCATATAACTCCATTAACTCTGTGTTGCTTCTTATTCTCCATCTATGCTGCTCTCTGATAGCTCCAAAGATCTTCCTTAGGACTCTTCTCTCCCAAACCAGCAAGGCTCTCCTGTTTTCCTTGGTCATAGTCCACGTCTCACTGCTATACAAAACGACCGGTCTAATCACCGTTTTGTATATTACTATTTTTGCCTTCCTGGACACACTTTTATATCGGAGCGCCTTTTGCAGAGCGTTGAAACATCTAGTTCCTGTAACCATCCTGCCTTTTATTTCTGCTTCCAAATTATTGTTTTCTGTCACTACTCCGCCCAAGTACTTAAATTTATCACTGTTGTGAAACGTTTCTTCTCCCAATTCAACAGTATCTCCTCTCTCTCTCTCTGGTATGTCGGGATGTTTTCATATACCTCCTCTTTTCCATGCTTATAATGAGTCCTAACTCTTGAGCTGCATGCTTGAACTCTTCTATAGCGCCGGCTAGTGCTGCTTTAGTTATTCCTGATATAACAACATCATCAGCATATGCCATGTGTTGCGTGAGCCTATTATAGATGGTACCACCAGGGTTCGTCTTGATTTTCCGAATTGCAACCTCTAAAGCGAGATTGAATAGTACAGGAGATAACGGGTCCCCCTGTCTTAAGCCACTGTTAACCTCGAAACTATCTGACATACCCACTCTGGTTTTGATCATACAGCTTGTCCTTTCTATGGTCATTGTGGTCAACCTTATTAATTTGCTAGGAATCCACAGTGACTGTAAGGCTTCCAACAGCTTACTCCTTTTCACACTGTCATACGCCTGCCGGAAGTCAATGAATAGGTGATGCAGGTCTATATTATATTCATACGCTTTCTCCAGCATTTGTCTGACAGAGAAAAGGTGGTCAGTAGTCGATCGTCCTGGGCGAAAACCACTCTGGTACTCTCCCAGAATTGTTTCACTCCTCTTCACTAGCCTTCGACATATTGCCACTGAAAGGACTGTGGGTAGGAGTGCTATTCCCCTGTAGTTTTCACATTTGAGTTTATCTCCCTTTTTAAGTATGGGGACTATGACAGCCTCTCCCCATTCATCTGGCATTTTTTTCTTCTGACCATACGTCCCATATCACCTTGTGAATCTCGTTCCATGCGTCTTCTCCAGCATATTTGATCAACTCCGACGGTATTCCATCAGACCCTGGAGACATATTGTTTTTTAGTGAAAGAATTATTTCACCAATTTCCTCTCTATCTGTTGGTACATCCTCATCATTATTCTTATTACCTAATTCATTCATCTGGGTGGTGTGCATATTATTTGCTTCTACATTTAGCATTTCTTTAAAGTATTGGACCCATCTCCCCTTGATTTTGTCATTATCAGTGAGAAAGTTTCCATTTTGGTCCCGACAGAATTCTGTCTGTTGGCTAAAGCTCTGTCGTAGCCATTTAACGTCCTTGTAGAACTTCCTACTCTCTTGTGCTAGAAACATTTCTTGCATCTCTTCGAGGTTAATCGTTTCGTATGATCTTCTCTTATCATGCATAACTCTTTTAGCCTTTCTTTTTTTTTCCGAGTATGCTTCATATGTACTGCGTGTTTTCCTTCTCGTAATTTTTATCCGAGCTTCATAATAGTAGGGCCTTTCACAATAACTATCAAACCAAGGATTCCTTTTCTTAATTTTTCCCTTTCTCCTCTCTTAATTTTCCCCATCTTTCCTCTTCGTTCATCTCTTCTCCACTCTATTCCTGGCACTGTCGCTGAAATTTCTCTTTATACACTTGTCTTATGGGTTCCTCCATCAACGATTTCAAAAGCATATACTTTTGCCCCCAAAGTATTCTTTCTACGTGCCAGACGTTGTTTATACGTATCCGGTCCCTCTGGTGATTATATCTATGTTTTTGGTCTTCACCATTCCTGTATAAAAAAACTTTCTTCCGGCAGTTTCTGGACTGTACTTATTTTTTATAGAGGTGAGGTCGCCCATCCCTCACGCTCAACCATCCTCCTTTATCCAGGCTTGGGACTTTCAGTGGTTCACCTAGCAACACTAACGGTAGCAACACTACACCCACTGGTGGAGATTGTGAAAATAACATTGTACATAAATTGATATTTTTTAAATATTTAATTAGTTTATTCTTTTAGTGGCTGGATCTATGAATTTACCAAATTTTCTTTCACTAAAGTAGGTCTGTAAATATTGTAAATTAAATTGTCTTCTTTCTTTAAGCATTTATATAAGTACATAGTTTTTTAAAATTTGTTTAGGTGTGTATATCTGAAATCTATGTACCTATTTCTGACCTTAATAACGAGGCTTGGGACTTTCAGTGGTTCACCTAGCAACACTAACGGTAGCAACACTACACCCACTGGTGGAGATTGTGAAAATAACATTGTACATAAATTGATATTTTTTAAATATTTAATTAGTTTATTCTTTTAGTGGCTGGATCTATGAATTTACCAAATTTTCTTTCACTAAAGTAGGTCTGTAAATATTGTAAATTAAATTATCTTCTTTCTTTAAGCATTTATATAAGTACATAGTTTTTTAAAATTTGTTTAGGTGTGTATATCTGAAATCTATGTACCTATTTCTGACCTTAATAACGAGCTATATATATATATATATATATATATATATATATATATATATATATATATATATATATATATATATACATATAAGCACCGCCATTGATTTTTTATATATTTTTATGTGTATATTTTAACCTATATGACTAGATCGTTTATATATCTTAATATTGTAACATATATATTTTTAGCCTTATTTATATTTATATTTGTATTGCTAGAGAGTTTACATTACACCAGTCAATGACCAAGTTCTTTTTTCAACAGCTTTGGCTCTCACTAAAGTTAAATATTATCAATTATAAATGAACTCCTTATTACAGATTTTAATTATTCTACAAT